GTAGGTAAATTTTGCCTATATACATCTCATTTAAATAGCAACCAAACAATAAGTCAAAAACTAGAATAAATTTTTCTTATAATTAACATTTTTATGGTTTTAGAACCCTTAAACTGGAGGGCCAATGATATAATAGCGTTCCTAATGCTGAGGAATTAAAAAGCAAATGGGCTTTTCTACTAGATAGTAATGCAAATTCCAAGTACAGCCTTAAAGGCTTGCAGAGGCAAAAGACATATAGCAATTGGAAGCATCATGATTAAACATTTACACTACGGTTTATTCCTAAACCTTCTGGAAATCGTCACTAAATTCTTAAAGAAGTTCAGTATTGTTAAACACTACTCAGTTTTCCCCCCTAATTCAGATTCTATATCTCCATGGGTGAAATAAAATTGTATTTTAGTTGATTTTCATTATTTAGCTTTTAATAAAAATAAAGGTTAAATAAACAATTTAAAAAATATAAAAACAAACTATTTATTATAGTATCGTTTATTTAATACAAACTATAAAAATTGATATAGTTTCAGAGCTTAAATTCCACAAAATGCAGTTTGCAGAAAACAAGTTACTAGACCAATGATAAGAGCAGCATTTTGAAATATTTTACAATTGTTAACAAGAGCTTTATTTCTAAATTTCATTAAAAAAATATACATCACAGTGACTTTGAACTTGGAAAAGAAGTGCTTTAGTTATTTTTTTCCCTTCCACAATGAGAGCAGCCACAACTTTTAACATCCCCACGTACTAATACCCAATTCACTTATTGATCTTTCAAAACACAATAAACACTCAAAGGGGAAGAAAACTCACATCGGTAAACGAATTGCTTTAAGAAAAAAAAGGGAGGGTTGTGGGAAGAAACACAAGCCAGTCCCACCACTCCCTCCCTTCTCCTACCTTGCTGACAGAATTTTAAAAATTTATGTGATTTTTCTTTTCCTTTAATATTGACTTCGTGTGTCACAGCCCAGCCCAGCGTTTGCCTTTACCTGAACCCTTTAGCACATGTGTCAAACACAAGGCCCGCGGGCCAAATCCGTCCCGCCAGGCCTTGCAATGTGGCCCACACTGCGCTGTCATCACTGCACTCCGCTGCGTTTCTATCACAATGACAGTTTATGACTGTTCAGTAAACCATTTGGCCCGCGATTTAGGCTGGATTTTAGATTTTGGGCCCTTCTCTGATTGAGTTCGACACCCCTACGGCAGCTGGAAAGCCCACTGCAGGCCGGAGTCAGCCAGTGCTGTATATCCTGGAGTTTACTTTTAAACAAGTATTTATAACAAAACATATCTTTTCATAATAAATTGGTTATAAAGCTACAATCCTTGGATTGGAAACTTCATTCAATTCTAAATGTATAAATAATAAACTGAATAATTATAGTAAACATGACCAGAAGTTAACAGAAAAATGACTTTTGTTTCTCTATAAAAAATCATCTATATGGTTGGTGTATATTATGGTGAAGGTAAACAGAAACAAGTTTCTATAGAAGTTTATTAAAGGTCCAAAGTCTGATTTTAAAAATTTGTCACCTTGCTGAAACCGTTTTTGGCTCAGTGGTTACGCAGGCGTCCTCAAACTTTTTAAAGTGGGGGCCAGATCACGGTCCCTCAGAGAGCTGGAGGGCCGGACTATATGAACTACTAATTCCTACTGTAACACCTCGGCTGCGCTCACTGCCCAAAAAACCTGGCGGGCCGGATCAGACTCCTCTGTGGGCCCCATGTGGCCCGCGGGCCGTAGTTTGAAGACCCCTGGCAGAGTATCAGCCTGCAGACTGAGGGGTCCCAGGTTTGATTCTGGTCAAGGGCATGTACCTTGGTTGCCGGCACATCTCCAGCAGGGAGTGTGCAGGAGGCAGCTGATCTATGTTTCTCTCTCATTGATGTTTCTAACCATCTCTCTCCCTTCCTCTCTGTAAAAAATTAATAAAATATATATTTTTAAAAATTGCCACCTAGGGTGAAGCACAATGAACTCCTTATTAAAATGTGAAAGCAAACTAGAACTGTCAGTTAACACCATACTCAAAATACCAGAAATCCCAATGTGTTCCTGTCCTTAACATTAGGAAATCTTTACTTTTCAGTTTCCTATCTATCACTGGGTACAAGAATCAAAAGCAATTCAATAAAGCCAATATGAATCAATATCTCACTTGTGCAGGGATAGGTTTATCAGTCAAATTCTTAAAAAATTCTGTGAAGGCTTTGATTTACGGAGCTTAAGAACTACAATGGTCTCTGTATAAATTCTCTAACTGTACATTTTTAAATATGTTAAAGCAATCAAGCAGCTCCTCTCTCTACTGGTCATTTATCATAGTATAAATCACTGTTGTGTCAATTTCTGTGGAAGGAAAGTGTTCACTTGAAATAATAATCATGAAAAATTTTTCAGGCAATAAAGACAAACTTACTTAAATCTTTAGGAGGATATTAAGTCAAAGATACTTAGAGGTTCCCAGCCAGTGTGCCTCAGTGGTTGACCATTGACCTATGAACCAGGAGGTCACTGTTGGGTCCTGGTCAGGGCACATGCCCAAGTTGAGGGCTCAATCCCTACAGGGGGCATGTAGGAGGCAGCTGATCAATGATTCTCTTTCATCATTGATGTTTTTATCTCTCTCCCTCTCCCTCTGAAACTAATTATATATATCTAAAAAGATTCTTAGAGGTAAACTGTAAGCTCAAACATAACTATAAAATTACAAGAAGGTATTAAATAGCTGTCTTTTAGGGAAACCGAGTGTGTTCAAAGTAATAACTAAAGGTGGTACAACTATTAGTAAGAATGTAGTGGGAGGAAAGGACCATTTGAGCTGTGTGCTATTCAGATGCAAAGGAAGACTTGAGGTACAGTAAATGCTTTTTAATCATTTTCTAAATGTTCTTTATATTCTGAATATAAAACTTACCTGACAGCTATCATCTCCTTTACCAAAATCTGTTCTATTGTTAAAACAGCTAATAAAGCTTTTTTTTTTTTTTTAAAGGCTTAGCATGGAGTTGGTCTTCTGATATACTTATAGAAATTACTAAATTTTCCCCCATTTGTTATTTGCCTATAATTCTTAGTAGATAAAGGTCTGGGATCAGACAATACAGAAGTATGTTTATTTGTCATGGAATTTAAAAAAAAATAGAACCTGATGAGAAATCTTTTTTTTTCTTCTTTTAAAAATAATATATATTTTATTGATTTTATACAGAGAGGAAGAGAGAGAGCTAGAGAGCTAGAAACATCGATGAGAGAGAATCATTGATCAGCTGCCTCTTGCACACCCCCTACTGGGGATGTGCCCGCAACCAAGGTACATGCCCGTGACCGGAATCGAACCCAGGACCCTTCAGTCCCCAAGCCGACACTCTATCCACTGAGCCAAACCGGTTTCGGCTAGAAATCTTTTCTTAAATAGCATCTTTCTTGATGTGCAAAAAGTATATAACAAATATTTTAAAAATGCAATGTACTGAATTTAAAAAACAATAACTAATTTAAAATATGTAAGAGATTATACACTCTAGACTCAATTAATTACCTTAATGTGGGTGTGTGTTCAAAGTTTCAAAGGAATCAACCATCCTGAATTATCATAAACATCTATTACTTTTATAATCAAGGAAAAAATTAGACTCCACTGTGGATATTTGTTTCAAGGAATTACAATCATATAATTACCCTATTATTCATTATGCAAACAGCTACCACCATAATGCCAACTGTACCATTAATGTTTTAATCACATTATGTTAAGCACTGCTTCTTTTAGTACTAACAGCATTGACTAGCTACTGGGTTTACCAAGAAACTGACACTATATTGACAAATATTAAAGTACAAAACATTCTAGAAGTTACTATTAATTGGAATTCTAAAATTCCTTTTCAAATGAGGCAGGTTTTGTGTTTGCTGGATGTTTAGTATTTTATTTAGAAATTACAAAATAAAAGGCCACACATCACAAAAATAGCAATGTACAACACATAAAATTCTAAATGGACTTTAGATATCTTTAGTGTTTAACTCTGTTAGCTATCAAATTTTGCAATTTTCTACTCTAAGTGGCAATGTTATACATGCCTAGGTAAAATAATGCTAACAGTAATGGTATAAATCACCTGAATAGAAAGAAACCAGTCATAAACATGCTACAGCCTACTGTGATACATATATTAAAAAGAGATATTTTCTTGCCATTTGAAACAGCTATGAGAAGTAGTGCAGTTTAAGTTAAACACAAACACACACACACACACACACACACACACACCAACACAAACAAAACATGCAGAATTAATACTCAACTCTTATAGATCAGTGACCAAAAAAGATAAGTCTTGTCAATACTAACAACTTTTAGAATCAAACTTAAAAGCGTTGCACAAGTGGTATGCTTTAGTGAGAAAAGTATTTTTCCATTTTGGAGAAGGATAATAAACAAGGTTCTCTAAAAGCAAATGAAATCAACACAGATTGAAAATCACAGTCTGATCTTCCAAGATTACTTGTCAGATGCTGTATAACAGCAAGTCAAGCTTAATCAGTACATCAACTGAAAAAAAAAATTGAACTATTTTTAGATAGTTAAAAACAGAACTAGACATGAAAAATATCATGAAACAAGCTATGAGTGGAATTATAAAGAACAGCACATGAAATACTATATAAAGAACTAAATATCTATTTTAAAGCACAAACTGCTATAACATCAAAAGTAATGCCTTAAGATATCAAGTTATTAGGATCCTGTTTCTGCATAAAAATTATTATAAGCCATAAATTCAACCAGAAAATCTTTATAAGACTTCATCATGAGTAACACGAGCTTTTGTAACAATGTATTCCAACAATCAGTTATATTTGCTTCCAAATGGCTGATGACACAAATTAAGGAACAGCTTGCTTGCTATTGGCTGATTGTTGCAACACAAAAATGTATACATGAAATAGTGAAACACAGCACACAGTATTACACCAAGTGTTTTTCTCATTTCAAGTTTATTAAAACTTTAGCAGTACAAATTATCCAGCTTGCAGATTATCAAAAGATCAACTCAATAAAGTCCACGTTAAAAAAGAAAAAAAAGGACAAACATAAACAACCCAAAACAATGAGAAGAAACAACATAAAGGAGATTCATCAGCAAGTCTCTAAAACTTAAAATCTGAGACAGAATGGAAATAAATTTATACAACTCACTCATCCACTTTTGTCTTCATCTGTTCCAGGGCTTGATTCATGATCAAATTTTTTATTTTTATCATGTGCGTGGTCATTTTCTTGACCCTTTGATTTTTGGTTTTCTTTTTCCACTGAGGATCTGGTCTTCTCATCCTCCTTCTGTTTTAATGTGGAGAACTTTAATTCATTGTCCTGACTACTTTGTTTTATTTTTGCGAATGGACTTTGATCTCTATCAGCCTTTTTATCCCTGTTATCATTTGAACTATTATGATCACGATTTTTAGAGTGCATTCTCTTCTCACCCTCAGAATTTTCTTTTCTGTGTGAACTCTTCCCTTCTTGGTTTCTATGTTTTTCTTTGTTCCTGCTTTGACTTTCTTCTCTCTCTGAGCTCCGTGAATCTCTCCTCCTCCTCTTTCTGTCTTTACTTCTCGATCTTCCTGGTGTAGCTCTTCTCTCTCGGCTCCGTGACCTTCCTCTTCTCCTGTACTCCTGCTCTCTGTATCTATGGTACTCCTTGCTTCTGCTGCGGTCACGGTCATGACTTCTGGATCGCACTCTTCTGCTCCTGTCCCTACTTCTGCTTCGTTCCCTTGTTCTACTGTTGTAACTGTGTTTGCCTTTAGTTGTATCGCGTTCTCTACTTCTAGACTGTGCACGTCTATCCTTTTCCTTACTTTTATTATGATCATGCTCATTACTCTTTGATTCTAACTGTTTAGACTTCTCTTTACTTCTACTCCTTTCCTGATCTTTTCCTTTAGAATCGGACTTTTCTTTTTCTTTTGTACTCTCATGATCCTTTTCTTTACTCCTTGACCTCATCCTCTTTTCTTCATGTCTATTATGCTTTGTATCCCTTTCCTTACTCTTTGATTTCTCTTTGCTTTTACTCCTACTTTTAGATTTGGCCCTTTTCTTCACCTTGTTTTTGTTATACTTATCATCTTTCTCTTTCTCTGAATTTCTTCTGACCTCTCTCTCTTTGCTGTTAGATTTATGGTCTTTAATTTTCTTTTCTTTTTCACTTTTTCTGTTTGGACTCTCAGACACATGCCTGAGATCAGTTATTTTCTTCTCTTTTACTCTAACTGGGCTTCTTTGATTTTCTTTTATTTCATTTATCTCACTCCTAAAATGTAAGAGGGGGAAAAAAAGCCTTTTTATTAAGAAAAAACTGGTGTTACTAGCTAAAATGATATTCTATTTTCCTTAAGATACCCAGAAACGGCTACAAATAACTGGATGCACTTTAGTAAAAATATATTTATATTCACTACCTTTGAAATAATATAATGAAATCTTACTTATCCCCTTTGATCCATCTTTCACCACTTGATACTCTCATTCTTTGAGCTCTTTGCATCTCTTGCCTCCAATGTGGAGGAGTCTCACTCCGTCTGAAACGATCCCTTGATCTGGATCTAGATGGCGTTCGATAACGCTTAAGAAAATAAAAAGGGGAAAGTTAACTTAGAAAAATATAAAAGCATTATACCATAACTAAAGTGTATATATTTCTAGGTTCAAATAAAGTGTCTGATATTTCTATGCCCTCTAAAATAACAAATTTCTCCAATTTTCCGACAGGAAGTCAATGAGAAAGAAATACTTCAAAAATATCTTGAAATTCCAAATAAGCATTAACCACAGAAACTCTAGCCACCCAAGCCTTCTCTAGAGAACTGTCTATTTAAATGATGCTAAAGCAGGATAGGTTTAAGAACCCTCACAAGTTGCCAAGTTCCAATTGGAAATACGTGATCTCGATGCATCAAAGCAAAAAGTTCCATATTATTAAAAAACAAAAAACAAGTCAATGTACAGATACTCATTTATTCAACCAGTAGTTTTTCAACTCTTAGAATGGCCAACCACTCGACCACATACTGAGGAAGTATTAGTGAGTCAAGACACACCTGATTTTGCTCCCTTGAAACTTATATTCTACAAGGTTAAGAGAACAGAAACAGACATATTATCACAGATATGAAACATTTATTCATAAAGAATGAATATAAAAGGAGAAGTAAAAGGTGCTCAGTGAATATATAACAAAGATATCTAATCTAGATAGTGTAAGGAAAGGGTAAAGAAAGTTAAAATGATAAGTAAAAGCTAAAAGCTATGGAATATGTATGAGAAGATACGAGGCAAGGGTGAGGAAAAAGAGATAAAAGGGGGTGAGGATAGATGGGTAAGGAAGAACATGTTAGACATAGAAATATACCATGTTTGAAGGTCCTGAGATAGAAAGAAATAGCATGTTTTAGAAATGATCAGAAGACAGATCAGTGTGGCCAAAGATAAAATTGCAAAGGAAAGTAGCACTTGATAATCTGATGAAGTAAGCAAGGACTAGCTTTTGTGAGGTCTTGTAGGTCATGGTAATAATTTTGGATTTACCATAAGGACAACAAAAAGGAGTGACATAATTAGATTTTCATTTTCAAAAGATCACTATGGAGAAAAGTTTACATCAGTGATTCTCAAGTGTGGTTTAGGAATCCCAAGACTCAGTATAGTCCAGGGATTTTTGAGGTCAAAATTATTTTCATATCACATTATTTGCCTTCTCCACTTTCATTCTTTATCTCACAATGGAATATTTCAGAGACAACATGGCATGTTTTGATGTATTTGCTTTCATAGTTAATAGATGATGTGCTTATATATAGTAGTCTTGTGTTTTAAATACTTCTCAATTTTAATTTCCAGAAGAGTAAATTTTAATAGATATAATTCACATCAACAAAAGCTCTTTTGAATCCTCAATAGTTTTTAAGATTATAAAGAGGTCCTAAGACAAAAAAGTTTGAGAACTGCCATGAGAACAGTTAGGAAGATATTTACAGTTCTGAGAATATATGATGAATTGAATTAAGATTACTGGAGTGGAGTTTGAGAGAAGCAGATAGATTTCAGAGTATTAAGGAGGTTAAACTGAGAGGACTTGGTGATGAATAAGATATATATGGTAGCAAAGAAAGGAGAAAAACAAAATGATTCTTGGGCTCGAAATTTTAGTAACTGTACATGTGGTGGTGGCTGCCATGAGTCCAGGAATCTAAAGGAAGAAGAGGTCTGAAGAGAAAGTGCTTATTGTATATACTGAATTGAGGTGCCTGTTAAGCAACTAAATGGCTATCAAATAAGCCTTTGGTGAGAGAAGAACAGATGAAAATTTGACATTTATCAGCATATAGGGAGCCACTGAAGCCATGGGAGTGATGAGATTATCCAAGGAGCATATGCAAAATGAGAAGAGTTGGAAACCTGTTGTAGCACAATATTTAAAAGTGGGGTAGAAGGGTATGAACTGGCGCTGGAAATGCAAGATAGAATAGCCAGAGATAGGAAGAAAATATGATGGGAGTAAAAAGAGTATTACATGCCGAAATCGGTTTGGCTCAGTGGTAGGGCGTCAGTCTGTGGACTGAAAGGTCCCAGGTTCGATTCCGGTCAGGGGTTTCAGCACATCCCCGGTAGGGGGTGTGCAAGAGGCAGCTGGTCGATGTTTCTCTCATCAACGTTTCTAGCTTTCTATCTCTCTCCCTTTCTCTCTGTAAAAAATCAATAAAATATATTTTAAAAAAAGAAAGAAAAAAAAAAGTATTACAGGTAGGGATATTAAGTAAGACAAAGACTGAAAGGATCCACTGGATTTTGTGACAGGAAGCTAACCACAGGGCAAGTGCTGCTTGCAGCAGAATGGTAGATAACAAACTGAAATGGCTGAGGAATGAGTAGGAAGTAAATAAATAATATACTATGTACTATACTTAAGTTTCTAAAATGCTAAAAACACAGACATTTAAATTCTGACAGGGACAATCTAGTAAAGACAAAGGGGGGGAGAAAAGAGGTAAAGGGGGAATAAGGGGAGATATCTGTAATGCTATCAACAATAAAATATATTTTTAAAAAGAGATGGAATGTAAGAATAGAGTTAATTTTTAACAAGAGTAGAGATATAGTGGTCAGGAAGTGACAAGGGGGCACAGCAAAGACTTTCATTTCATTTTATACCATGTTTTGTAAAAATCCATTAACATCCCATGAATTTAAGTTTGGAAGTACTAATACAAACAAGTTACTATGAAAAGAGAACATAATTCAATACCCACACCTACTCTGAATTTCAGTTACTTACATATACAACTATTTAAAAAACACTCAAATTATTTTAAGATAAATGCAAAACTATTAAGATTTATGGGAAGGCCAAAATAGTTCGGCTCTGTTGGCTGTGGACTGAAGGGTCCCGGGTTCGATCCCCAGTAGGGGGTGTACAGGAGGCAGCCAATCAATAATTCTCTCACAATACTGATGTTTCTATCTCTCTCTCCTTCTCTATTCCTCTCTGAAATAAAAAAAAAAAGGATTTATGGGAAAAGAATGACCTACCCTCGGTCCTCTTCCTTTAATTTTCCTGCCAGACCTAGTAACTAAAAGTCTCCTCTGGTATGACGCAGGCTGGGAGTTAAGTAGATTACTAGAAGGAAGCAAAGAGAACATTAAAACATTATTTTATAAAAATAAATCTGGGAAATATAGCTTTGCTGACTTAAAGTAATAAATTTAAAATCATATATAATCAGTGGTTTTCACCCAGGAATGTTATCAATGCCTAACAGTTATCTAGAAAAGTTGAAGCACTTTTCAACAGCTATTGGTACTTAGTGCCCAGGAGTGAGGAATGCTAAAACCTTGTAATGCATGAGGAAGAATAACTAATTTGTCATTGTTACATAATCATTACTAAGATGAAGTTAACCTGACAGTGCTAAGGAAAATCATCAGAAGAGCTCAGTATAGGCCATATGCCTGAGAGAATAGTTGTAAAACTACCTTATTCCAAAGTGCCTTATTATCTTACTAGGGGGCATAGTGCACAAAATTCGTGCACTCGGGGGGTGGGGGTGGGGGTTCCCTCAGCCCAGCCAGCGCCCTCCCCGCTGGGAGCCAGCCTAAGCTACCAATCAGACAGCCTTAGTGCTGCCACAGAGGCGAGAGAGGCTCTAGCCACCACCAGTGTCTGTCAGCCGTGAGCTCAGTTTCTGGCTGAGCCTCGCTCCCCTTGTGGGAGCCCAGGGGCCACCAGGGGGCAGCACCTGTGTTGAGTGCCGCCTGGTGTCCAGTGTGCATTATAGCAACCAGTCGTTCTGTTATTCTGTCGATTTGCATATTAGCCTTTTACTTATGTAGGATAAGTAGTTGTCCATTGATAATAAAATTATAGTGAAGTATAATTATTGAGATTAAGCAGAAACAATATAGTCTGAATTAGCAAAATTTTTATACCATGGTTTATACCAAAAAGGAAAACCATTTTCAAATAATGAGTTAATATTGTTAGCATTAACAATATCCATATAAGTTATATTGAAAAGGTCATTCTAAGGTAGTTCAAACATTTTCTCTTTAATATTTACTTTCTTAGAAACAACTTAATACCTGAGGAAAAATAAAAATTCAATCTATATTAAAATTACAAATACTTAAATTTTGTGGTTTTACTGTATTATGAAAGTATTGGGGGATCGCTCAGAATTGTTATTACTTTTATAACATTCCTCTTTGTTCATAAAAAAAGAGAAAGACTTCAACTTTTATGTAGAAAATTTCTGCAACTATTTGAACATATCAATTTTAATTACCAAAATATTTTAAGTCATGCAAAGAAAACAGAATTTTTTCCCTATCAGAGAAACTGAAAGTGGTTTTTACTTAAAAGTTTAATGTATACAAAATAACTGAACTGTACACTTCAAATGGGTGCATTTTATTTTATGTAAATTTGTCCTCAATGAAGTTCATTTTAAAAAGAAAAAAAGTTTAATATCTACAAATAACACGGTAAAACTCATCTCATTTTTAAATGGAATTGGTTTAGAATTCCACTTAACATCTTTTTAGCATTCACAGTGCTTATTTTTCTTAAAAAGTAACTGTTACTCAAAATCTGTTTGCATTGTCAATTTATCCTTTTACCTATGTGGTTACTAGCAAAAAGGGGCTTTAGGAACATTACCCTCTAAAGCACATGTGTCAAACACAAGGCCCGAGGGCCAAATCCGTCCCGCCAGGCCTTGCAATGTGGCCCGCACCACGCTGTCATCACTGCACTCCGCTGCGTTTCCATCACAATGACAGTTTATGACTGTTCAGTAAACCATTCGGCACGCGATTTAGGCTGGATTTTAGATTTTGGCCCCTTCTCTGATTGAGTTCGACACCCCTACTCTAAAGAAAGATTTCAATCTTGTGACAAAGTCACCAATTAAATTTTGTCTAAAATAAGTATACACTTTTTTTTTTTTTTTAAAGAGATATTATGTTAAAGATTGTAAGGCACTGTAAGGTATACATACACATGCACATACCACTCTCTCTCTCTGTCTCTTTCTCTGTTTTTCCTTTCTTTCTCATCAGCTTTAGGAGGACTTTTTCTCATTAGAAATCTATTTTCAGGTATAGGAGGGATCTCTTCAGGACGGACCGTAGACTGGGGTTGTGCATCAAGATTTTCAGCCTCACTTTCACTAGATGGGCTTAATAAAAACACAAAACAAGTTTCATTTGGTTATTATGTGTCTACTCCAAATTTCCAATTGTTAATATTTCTTTTCTTTAAAATATCACAATGTAGCTGAAACCGGTTTGACTCAGTGATAGAGTGTCGGTCTGTGGACTGAAAGGTCCTGGGTTCGATTCTGGTCAAGGGCATGTAAGTTGGCTGCGGGCACATCCCTGGTAGGGGATGTGCAGGAGGCGGCTGGTCGATGTTTCTCTCTCATCGACGTTTCTGGCACTCTATCTCTCACTCTTCCTCTCTGTAAAAAAAATCAATAAAAATATATTTAAAAATAAATAAAATATCAAAATGTATACACCATCCTATACCCGTAACAAACCAACTAACCAACCAACCAAAAATTAAAACCAAACGTCTCCATTGTTACAGTTTTGAAAAAGATTTCTCACTAAAATGGGCCCAAAATATGAAATTCCTTGGATAATGTAAACTTAAATAAACTTAAAATGCAGGTAAAGAAATTAGTTGTTTTAGAGAAAATAGATATATAAAGACAAATTTTAGTACTAACATATTATTTCAGACAAAGCAGGGCAAACAAATACAGTAACATCTGCTTTCTATACTATGCAAAGAAAATGAAGGACAAGCCGAAACCTGTTTGGCTCAATGGATAGAGCGTCGGCTTGGGGACTGAAAGGTCCCGGGTTCGATTCCGGTCAAGGGCATGTACCTTGGTTGCAGGCATATCCCCAGTAGGGGGTGTGCAAGAGGCAGCTGATCGACGACTCTCTCTCATCGATGTTTCTAACTCTCTCTCTCTCTCCCTTTCTCTCTGTATAAAATCAATAAAATATATTTTAAAAAAAGAAGAAAAAAGAAAAGAAAATGAAGGACAAAAGAGCAAGGTAGACTTCTACAAAAAATAAGGAAAACAATATTTGATTTACTTCAATTGTCACTAATCTCATATTCCATCCATAATTACAAATCTAGAAAACCAAAAGTATAATTACATTGAGTGCAGACAAAATTAACTGAATGATTTTGTTAAAAATGGAAATGAATATACCCAAATTTAATCTAGGGACTGTAGAATACCAAAATACTTCAAGCTATAAAATATTTCTATTTTAATGTTCCCATATAATTGATCCAAAATGCCAACAGATTTATTTATAAACAGAAGGAAATTAGCATATAAAGCTAGTACTGAAAAAGTAAAATTAAGACCTTTTCTTGCTTTTCTTTCGCTTCTTCTTTTCTTTCTTGTGTTTCCGGGAATTTTTCCTATGTTTCTTTTTTCTTTTTTTTGACTTCTCTTCAGAAGCACTTTCAGAATCAGAAGAATCAGAAGAGGATTGAGAATCACTTGAGCTATCTGAGTCACTGGATGATGACGAGGAGGAGGATTTATGCCTTTTCTTTTCTTCTTTCTTAGCTTTCATAAAGAAATAAAAAGGTCTTTTGGGCAACACATTTTAGATAAACATTTTAAGTGGAAATTTATATTTTCTAAGTCCAGTATTTAATAGCTAGTCCATCTAGCTATTTGAACTGAGAGTTACAGGAAAGGAGTTAAGATTAGAATCCAGAGTTGTATCTATTGAAGGTCCCAATGGCTATTTAAGTCCATGGAATCATTTGGTCTGGCCCTGCCAAGGCATTAGGGGTGAGTTAATTAAATGTTTGACCAAATATAGCAGGCTAATTTTTAAGTGGATAATTTTGTATAGCCTGAGAATGATGTTATAAACATCCAAATGGCCTTAAGCAGAAAAAAAGGTTCCCCAACCTTGTAGAATTATTTAAAAATAATAGATAAATCTATAATAATAAACTAAATTAACTTTGGGAAACATTTGATAGCATAGTTTTTTCAAAAAGCACAGAAGCAACATTTAAGCATCCGAGATTCTAATCTTGTAGTGCTCAACTTTTTCTCTTATCAAGACTGCAGGTAGGAGAAAAACAGCAGAAAAATACTTTGCATGAATGTGGAAAGATAAGAAATATGATTTCATTAGCATGGACTTATGTTTCCATACCTTAGCATTCCCCTAATAATTAAGAAATTTAGCCATTTGAAAGTACTAACACAAATAGGTTACGTACTATGAAAAGAGAATATAAGAATTCAGTGGAGCCTAGAAGAGTAGACTTACAACAGAGGATGGTCATTTGACATTAATTAATAACTCTATTTTTGAGATCTCTACAAAAAAATTCTTCAAATTAAAATCTTACTTTGGTTTAAGTAATAATTTTAAAAAGGGTCCCAAAAATCAGATGCTTTAAGGAATAGTCAACTAACATAAATAAGTGAAGTTAACCTGGTATAATATAACAGGAATTGGTGAAAGATATGAGAAACTGCATAGAGCTTGACTTATCTAAAAGCATTCTAATTCAAACTATGGACTTAAAGAGTGAATTCAAGCCAAAGATGGGACACCATTGTTATATAGGTAACTACAATAAATTGGAACAGATCAACTACAATACATTAGAATCCATCTATATATAAAAGCCTAAGTGACCAAACAACCAAATGACTGATTGATCGGTCACTATGAGGCACACTGACCACCAGGGGGCAGACGCTCAATGCAGGAGCTGCCTCCTGATGGTCAGTGCAGTACGACAGCCAACCTTACGGCCCCTTCCCCCTGCCAGCCCACTAACCTTCCCTGACACCAGTCAGCCTCAGCCCTGATCCCCACCTGTGCACGAATTCATGCATCAGGCCTCTAGTTAATTAACAATGATACTGGTAAATAAAATACAAACTATTTATACTGCTTTTTCTATTAAAACTGTATCACTGCTTAACTAAATAGTAAATGAAGAGAAGATGCTATTGGGTCGGCAGCTAAGTAATTGCGGGTTTCACACATATATGGCTTCAGTTGAATTTTTAGGTTTGCAGACGTAGTACAAATGTAAAACACATTTTGTTATTTGATAGTTGGCTATTCAGCTATTAATCAGTAAAAAAAGTTTTTTGATCTGTTTTGTAGTTTTTGTTTGGCGTTCGTTGAAAAATGGAAAATCAAAAGGAACATTTTTGTCATATTTTGCTTTTTTATTTCCGCAAAGGGAAAAACGCATCCCAAGCTCATAAAAAGTTATGTGCTGTTTATGGTGACGAAGCCTTAAAAGAACGGCAGTGTCAAAATTGGTTTGCCAAATTTTGTTCTGGTGATTTTTCACTCAAAGATGAAAAACGCTCTGGTCGTCCAGTTGAAGTTGATGACGCCCTAATCAAAGCAATAATCAATTCGGACTGTCACAGTACAACACGTGAGATTGCAGAGAAGCTTCATGTATCACATACATGCATTGAAAATCACTTAAAACAACTTGGCTATGTTCAAAAACTCGATACATGGGTTCCTCACGAACTGAAAGAATCACAGTTAACGCAACGCATTAGCAGCTGCGATTTGCTAAAGAAACGTAATGAAAATGATCCATTTTTAAAACGACTGATAACTGGCGATGAAAAATGGGTTGTTTACAACAATATCAAGCGGAAAAGATCGTGGAGCAGGCCAGGTGAACCAACTCAAACAACATCAAAAGCTGATATTCATCAAAAGAAGGTTTTGTTATCAGTTTGGTGGGATTACAAAGGAATTGTCTACTTTGAACTCTTACCACCCAACCGAACGATCAATTCTGATGTCTACATTGAACAACTAACGAAATTAAACAATGCAGTTAAAGAAAAGTGGCCCAAATTGACAAATCGAAAAGGTGTTGTATTCCATCATGACAATGCAAGGCCACACACATCTTTGGTCACTCGGCAAAAATTAATGGAGCTTGGTTGGGATGTTTTGCCACATCCACCATATAGTCCTGACCTTGCACCATCTGATTACTTTTTGTTTCGATCTTTACAAAACTCCTTGAATGGTAAAAATTTCAATAATGATGATGATGTCAAATCGTACCTGATTCAGTTTTTTGCTAATAAAAACCAGAAGTTTTTTGAACGTGGGATTATGATGCTGTCTGAAATATGGCAAAAGGTCATTGATCAAAATGGGCAATACATTACAGAATAAAGTTATTTAGTTCCATAAAAAAATTTTTTCTTTAAAAAATCCGCAATTACTTAGTTGCCGACCCAATATTTATCAAAAAAGTAGTCCAGTAATAGCTGAAACCGGTTTGGCTCAGTGGATAGAGTGTCGGCTTGGGGACTGAAGGGTCCCAGGTTCGATTCCGGTCAAGGGCATGTACCTTAGTTTTGGGCATATCCCCAGTAGGGGGTGTGCAAGAGGCAGCTAATCGATGACTCTCCCTCATCGATGTTTCTAACTCTCCATCTCTCTCCCTTCCTCTCTGTACAAAATCAATAAAATAAATAAAAAATAAAAATAAATTAAAAAAAAAAGTATTCCAGTAATAAATGTAGGGATCAGAGCCTGTGTATCATCATTTTACAACTAATGAGGCACCCTGATCACCAATGGCTCCTGCAGAGAACAAAGACAACCTATCCTTTGTGACTCTTGGTCCTATCAAAACATTAAAAACAAAACTGAATCTGATCAACTTTCTATAACCATAAAGCTATTAGGAAATAGAAGTACAAAAGAATATATTACATAACATACGGGTGCAATCAGTAAAATCCAGCATGTACAATAATGGGAAACACTACAGGTCAAATGACCAGAGGCAACTCAACAAATAAATCTCAAGGAAATATATAGGGAGATGGTGTTGGAATCTATTAAAAAAAAAAAAAATTGTAAGGTCAACCCCAATGTTTGAACTTTATTTGGATTCAAATATTAAAAAATTAACATTAATGAGACAATCAGAAATTGAAACAGAATTCTTTATATTCAGAAATATATGGCATATTTTTATGTATTCATATTATTATAGTATTGGTTTTTTATTTTTATTGATTTCAGAGAGGAAGGAAAAGGAAAAGATAGAGAAACATCAATGATGTGAAATGATTAAATAGCTGCCTCCCACAGGTACCATACTGGGGATCGAGCCCACAACCTGGGCATGTGCCCTGACCTGGAATAGAACCGTGACCTCCAGGTTCATAGCCGATGCTGGCAGCTGGGGGAAGGAAGGCCTACTCTTGCACAAATTTTGTGCATTGGGCCTCCAGTCTTTTATATTGATCTTAGAGAGTGAGGAAAGGGGAGAGAGAGAGAGAAGGAAAGGAAGAAGGAAGGACAGAGGGGGAGAGAGGAAGGGAGAGAAGGGTAGGGGGTGGGATGGGGAGAGGAGGATATCTATTGGTTGCCTCCCATAGGTGTCCTGACCAGGGCTGGAACCAGCCTCACTTATTTTGCACCATGTAGCCTGCTTATTCAGTCGTTTGGTTGTCCCTCACTAACCCCCCTGCTGGCCTGGTCATGGGCAGCCATCTTGTGAGGGTTGATTTGCATATTACAGCTTTATTATATAGGATTATCTGCCTGAGTATCATATGAATCAACTATAAAAAGAAAATATACTGTGTTTTAGAAAAAATGCTTTGCAAGAGGGTTTAGAAAGTGCAAAAGTTGAAAAAGTTCCCCCTTTTCATATTTTTCAGTATTGTTTTATGTGCAAAATTTAATTTACTAGTACATGTCCTTTTCCTAGGTATCTGTGCAGAATAAAAAAGAATCTGATTGGGGGGAAAACAGTAGTAAAAAATAGAGGAGTAAAAAGGCAAAAATTAGAGACATGACAACATCAGTATACATTGTATTAATAAAATGTTGCTTTAATTTTAAAATCTGTGTTAACCTAAATTGAAAAATATTACCTAGGACTGTGAATGTGACTGAATTCTCAAATCAACAAGTATGTTTAACTGATTAGTATTAGTCATATACACAAAATAAGGCCAAGACATGGAGAGGAAAAATTGTAGAATATATGGAGAACTTACATAGGGAACTTTACAAGACAATCTATTAGTAAAATAAGATCAACAAGTGTGAATTCAACAGCAAACAGCATCGGGAAATAGACACTTAATACATTTTTCTAGAAACTCTGACTCTAATAATTGTATAAAACTTAGCAGTATGGTCAAAAAGTACAAAGGTAGAGTAGAAATGCTTTGTAGAACTATAGTCAGTTATGTATTCCTATAAATCTCTGTGCTTATGGAAAACCATACAATAAAACCTCATGGCTTATGGGGAAAATGGTGTTGGGGTAGAAAATTTAAAAACTTCAGTGACACATTTTTAGAGGAGATAGAAAACCACTAAAATTGCAACAGTTTTACACATGTTAAATGGTTAAAAATTACATAAATATGACAATAAACAAGGCACTTTGAAAAATACCTGGGGTTTTCTTGTGGAAGTGAACATGAGAAAGGCTGCATCTAGTGAGTTATTGTAAAGTAGTAGAAGAAGAGTGATCTGAAATCAGATGGAAAGTTTTAGCAGATGTTTGAGG